CAGCCAGACCGATTTGCTCTTGGGAGGTTAATTGCTGTGAGATCTAAGGACACAAACAAAAACAAGTCCTGATGAATCTTTTTAGCTATCCTTAGACTGACTTTCTGCTCGGTGTGTAGCGATAGGACGGGGCGGAATGGCTTTAAGCTAAAAGACAGCAGATTTACGTTAGGTAATGGGAAGGATTTTTTTATTCAGAGGAACAGGTTGCTCCATCTCTGGAGGCGTTCAAGGCCAGGCTGATCTGGTGGGTGGCAACCCTGCCGTGGCAGGGGTTAGAAGTGGGTGATCTTTAAGGCCTCAGCTGTTCTACGATTTCTTACCAACTGCTCCAAAAGTGTCAGAACGAGTTTGTTGGGTGTGTGAGAGCACCAGCAAAGCTGAGAACCCTTGCTACCTCTTGCCAACAGAAGTCAGGCTTGGGGGTTCTCTAGATGTTTCATCCATGCCACCCTTAACATCCAAGGACGAAGCTACAAAACTACTAAAGCTTCAAACTTCATTCTGTCTTTTTCACTAGACAGAAACACGACAGCCAAGGTATATGCTTGGCACGAGCTCTCAGGACGCAGCAGACAGTTGTTCCTGGGAATGTAAGCAAAAACAGGAAACCTCAACACATTTTCCATGATCCAGTCACTAACCACCAGCAAGAGCAGGAGGGAGAAAGCCAACATCCGCATCAGCTGCTCAGCTTCACAAGTAAGTTAGTTCTTCCTTTAAGTCACGTCTGTCCTTACGCTGCTGATGTTGGCATGTGAACACACAAGCGTTCTTTATCATCTTTGTCACTGCAAACTGGATGAATTTAAATAGCTCAGCAAGTTCTTCTGACTTTGAGCAAAACTGATTTTTGCACGGTCTGTGGGCCAGAGAAACCGTGCAGAGGCTTAAAGAGAAAAAAAGGTCATTTCCCCATGGCAAGCAGCAACGATCCCAAAGCCTTTAAACGATGCTTGGGATTGATACCCAGACATGTTTGAGAGGACTTGAAAATGTCAGTCTTTGAAGATGTCAACCAGGTTGAAGGAACCATCTTGCAGTAAAGGACAGATTCTGTTGTTGGTGAGCAACACCAGTTGCCCTTTTTAAAGCTTTCTTGCTGCTCAGCAATGCAGCAGGCGCAGCCCAACCTGTCTGAGATGCCCCATCCATCACAGGGCAGCAAGCAGAGGAGCAAGGCTTCCCAGAAGAGCTGGATGATGTTTCCAGCTCTCCAAGTGTCCTTTACAGGAACATGCTTCAGACGGTCATACTGATGCTGGCCTCTCAACCCCTAAACCCAGCAGTAAAACAGGAGAGGAATTCTCTCTCCTCAAACCCAGAGTCACAGATGTCAGCATCAGCTGGGAGTTCTGAGCAGAACAGGTAGGAGTTAAAAAATCCCCAGGCACACCTGGAGAGGGCAGCTCCGAGAGTGCTGGCAGGCTGCACACCCTAAGAGGGTCTCCTGTGCCTGATGTGGGGCTGGCTTCTGGCACCCAGTGGGGCCATGTGGGCTGGAACTGGCTTCTTAGCCAAAAACACTTCTCATCCTAATCCTAAAGCAACTCTTAGCTCCATCCCCTCCTTTAATTATTGGCTCGTATAGCTGGAGTCAGCCTTAACATTCCTGGGACTTCCAGTGTAGTGATCTTTAATACATGAATTCCTCCATGAAAAGAGATCTGAAATTCACTGTATCCAAACAGAAAGGCAAGAATTAGGGAGCACTTTGCCTCCCCCTTCCCAGCCCTCTGTCCCTGACACTTGCTGCATTAGTGCAGGTTGCAGGGCAGGCTGCAGTGCCGGCTTTTCATCCATGGCAAAGAGGACGTGCAAGAGCAGGGCTTAAAGACACAACAGAACCTGCTGGGGTAGGAGGAGCTGCAGGAAGCCTCGGCCTTGCTTGGCAGCTGTGTCCAAAGTCGGCCCTGGCCCCAGTCCTTGTGCAGCCAGGGTACATCTGGCTCTGCCTTGCTCATCCAATCCTGACCATGAAATCACTTCCCTGCTCCATGCTGGGCCTCTCCCATCATCGCCGGCTGATGGTAGATGCCACAGAGGTGGTTTCTGGGTTGCCTGCCCTTGCAGGGTAGCAGATCTGCTGCTCTCTGACGCAGCATGCCGGGATCGTGCCACCCTGTGAGGTGCTGCCAGCTCAGCCCTGCTACTGAAGGTGACCTGGGCTGTTGGTGGCTGTGCCAGGCATCTCTGGGCCAGCATGGTCCCCACGGAACGAGGCCAGGGGCACAGGGCAGCAGTGTCTGTGCTCCAGTCTGAGCCTGGCAGAGCTGCATGGGTGACCTGCAGATGAGGTCCTGCAGATGAGGCTGTGCTCCACACATCTCCGGCATGAAACACAGGCTGCAGCAAGGAGAGGTTGTATGCAGAGCAATTCAAGGCCTCTAACACCACGTGTGTCCCCTGTGCCAATTTGGTCATCAGCTCTTTGAGCCCTGGTGCACAGGACCCTACAGTCACACCGCAGGGCTGGCTGGGAAGCTCAGTGTGCTCACTGCAGGGAGCAGCAGCAGAAGCCCCCCAGCAGCAGTGTGCTGCTGCAGCTAAGAGCACCAAGCCGGGCTGCAGCGCGTGCTGGGCACCTCTTGAAGTGTTTGGCTGTGGATGTTTGGCTTGGGGCCGTGCTCCTGTCCTGCAGCACTCACACTCAGGTGCTCAGGTTTAAGACAGCGCCTCACACACAGCTCTGCTCCTGTTGGCAGCCCGGTACCGAAGCATACCCAGACCCAGGTGGTGTGCAGGGGTGTCAGGGCTTTCGTACCCCCTGCCCGAGGTGGTGACAAAGGCTGCTGCAGACAGCACCGCCCTGCGAGTGCCAGCCAGCAGCGGGCACCATCGGCTGCCCTAACAGCTCAGGTCTGGGGGAGCTTCCGCTGCTGAGCCTCACCGTTGCTGCCTCTGCGCCAGCCCTGCCCGCTGCGCTCGGCCAGCCACGGCTGTCCCATTGCCATTGCTTGGCCCTGCCTTTGTCCTTGAGCAGCAGCGTGAGCTGTGCTGTCAGACGTCAGCACGAGCCGCTGGAACAAGCCGCGCCGTCCCTCTGCGCCCACACCTGTCCCCAGTGCTGAGCCCAACCTGGCCTTGCTGAGGGCGGCAATGGGGAGCAGTGCCCAGACCAGGAGGGAGCTGCGCGCTGCTGCTGCACGACTATCCCTGCAGAGAGAAGCACGCAGCTGGGGGCCGTGGTGCTGCTGGCTTCGCTGCCCTGCAGCTGCCGCTGGCTGCGCCCCACTGCTGAGCTCAGCCCTGGCACCGCACGCTTCCAGCGCAGCAGATGCTCCCGCTCTCCAGAACAAGGGCCGGACGGTGGATTCGGGCCAGCGCCGCTGCCCCCACCCGCGCAGGGTGAGCAGAGCCCTCAGGGCAGCACCAGCGTGTTCCCCCCTGCAGGAGGTCCCCACCCTTTCATCTGTCGACTTCGTCTCTTGCGCAGATGCGGTGCCCAGGGATTAGGCTGCAGATTAAGGCTTTACTGAATCCTGCCGTAGGTTCCAGCTCCAATCCCAGCAGGACCAACGTGCAGTCACATCTCCCTGTAAGCTCGCTGGAGCCTGGAGAGACATTTCCCACCCTGTGCTGCTCTGTGCATGGGGGATGCAGCCCCAGTAATTGCATAGACTGTGGCAGCTGCCAGGCTTTGTCCTGGGAAGGAAGGCTGGAGAGAGGCAGGAGCTGGGGCTGCCCAGAGGATGGAGCCAGCCATGGCCTGCGGGCAGCTGTGCTCAGCCCTGCAGCGGCTGACTCCTCCCTGAGGCTGGAAGTGCAGGCTGAGCACCTGGGAGCTCTCAGGTGGCCTCATCCTTTTGCTAAAGTCTTGAAAGCTGGGAGGGACCAAAGGGATCGAATCCATATAGGTGTGCTGCAGCACCAGAAGGTAACAATCCAACTGAACTGCCTGTCTGCTTTTAGCAAAAGGGGAAACCGAGGCACAGAGCAGCAGCATACAGCTCTGTGGCCTCCCCAGGCTGCTGACAAAGGGGTTTTGGCATCAGGTGGGGGGGGGCATGCGTCGTGTGGGCAAACGGTGTGGGTGCTGCTGGGTGCTGCTGGGTGCTGCTGGGTGCTGAGCAGCTCAGGGAACGCTCAGTGGGGTGTTCTCACTGCAGAGAGGACCAGGCATGTCCCCGTGGGCTGAGTCCAGGCGCAGCCCTCTCTTCATTCTAAGCATTTGCCCTAAATCAGCCAGGGCTGCAGCTGGAGTGAGGCAGAGCGCACAGCCTGGGGCCTGGCACATCACCTGAGGCTGGAGAAACACTGGGTGCTGCAGAAGGCTGCCAGCATAAAGTGACTGCATGGAGCAGATGCAGGGAGGTTCCTCATGCTGTAGGATGCCCGAGGGTAGAGGTGCCCAGGCCTGATGAGGATGTCTGTGTGCGTAATTACTGCTGGGATGGGTCAGCTCAGGGACCTGGCACACACACACACATGTGTGGCCGGGACTGGGGCACTGCCAATGAGCCCAAGATTTGGGATCATGAACTTACCCCCAAAAGGAAAACACTTCCATGATCACAGGATGTAGAGTCAGGAGGGTCTTTCAAGATCATAGAACCGTAGAGTGGGTTGGGTTTGGGTTGGAAGGGTCCTTAGAGGACTGTGATCATTAAGTCATGGAACCATGGAATCACAGAACAATTGGGTTGAAAGAGACCTCACAGCCCCCCAGCCCCACCCTGCCATGGGTCGCCTGCCCCCCAGCTCAGGCTGCCCAGGGCCCATCCACAGCACGGGACACCTCCAGAGATGGGGCACCACAGCTCTGAGCAGCAGTGCCACCACCTCGCCTCCCTCCGGCTGAAGGATTTCTAACCTAAATCCCCTCTTTTAGTTTAAAAGTGTTCCCCATATTCCTGTCACTGTCTGCCCATGTAAAAAGTCTTCACTCCTCCTGTTCACGTGCTCCCACCGCTCCTGGAAGGCTGCAGTGAGGCCTCCCCTGCGCCTTCTCCACGCTGAACATCCTCAACTCTCTCAATATGACACAAGGCAAAACCCGATTAGCACACACCACACTTTCTTGTGCGTACGCGAGAAATGCACAACGCAAACGGCCACGGGGCTGCAGGCTCCCGGGTGCCAGGGAGCGCCGGGCTCAGGGGCGGTCACTGCGCAGAGGCTGGGGCAGGTCAGAGGAGCTGACCTGCAGGCTGAGCTCCACGGAGCCGGTGACCAGGGGTTGCTCCTCGTGCACCACGTACTCCTCGCGCTGCTGCTGCTGCAGGTGCCGGAGGATCAGCCCGGACAAGAAGTGGCTCTCGGCCTCTGCCGGTTCTGGAAAGAGGAAAGGCAAAGCCGCGCTCGTGTCCGTGCTGAGGCGGGGCTCTGGGCGGGGATCTCGGCAGAGCGGCGGTGCTCACCTTCATAGGCGATGAGGCGGTACGTGCCCGCGCACTCCCTGGAGCTGCTCAGGATGTCCCGCAGCGTCCTGTAGAACAGCCGCGCCTGCTCCAGCCGCTGCTCCCTCCCGAAGGCTGCGCACTCATCCTGCGCCATGGCGAACAGCGTCTGCAGCGGGGACGCAAACTCCAGCACGCAGGGCCTGGGCTGCGGGGAGACGGCGTGGGGAGGGCAGCGCCGCTGAGGGCTTGGTGCTGCGCCCGGCGCCCATCCCTGGAGGTGCCCCGTGCCGCGAGGAGCCCCGGGCAGCCTGAGTTGGCGAGGGGCAGCCGGCAGGGGCAGGCTGGGGGGCCGTAGGGCCCTTCCAACCCAACCGTTCTGTGGTTCTATGGGTTGAGCGGTGCAGCTCTGCCTTGCCTCCATCCCCAGCCTGCACCTGGGGACGCCTCACCCACCTGGGGATGCAGGGCTGCCCCAGCATACCTTGTTGTCCTTATCCCTGATCACATACAGGCTCTGTCTGTAGACTCTTCTTTTGATGCCTGCCCGGGTCAGGGTGGTCTCAGGAAGATCTGCCAGGTATTGGATGTTGCTGTCAGCTTTCTCCAGGTCATCCCAGATGTCACAGTTCAGTGGGACCAGGATGTGGAGCTTCCAGGCGTCGCGGTGTGCCCGCAGCATGGGGTTGGCCCTGCTGATCTCTTCCATGCACTCCTTCAGGCCTGGAGAAAGAGCGAGGTTTGGGGGGAGAGCGGCACTGGGGTCTGCTCCTCACTGTGGAAGTGGCAGGGCTGTGGGAGCCATTTCCATCCATAGCCGTGATAGTGCAGGGGAACAGCTCCGTACGTGGCAGAACTATTTTCAGGTAGCCGACGTAGTAGGACCAGGCGAGGCCGTGAGCAACGTTCTTCTTGGAGCTCTCAGTCAGCTCTGACACCTCCACCGCTGAGAGCTTCTGCAGAGGGAAAAGGAGGAAAAAAACAGCGGCGGGGCTCAGAGGGGACAAAGGGCGATGCCTGTGCCAGCACCCAGAGCGGTGGTGGCCCTGCAGATGGGAGGGCAGGGCAGGGTGTGCCCAGCCCCTTCCCAGCAGCACTCTGCACATACGGAGCCAGGTGGCTGAACACCACTGCTGAGCATCCCCTTACCTGCAGCCCGAGGGTGAGGACCAGCAGCTGGCACAGGCAGGCGAGGGTGAGGCGGGGGCTGTGCCCGTCGTCCTCTTGAGGGTCCAGGTAGGCTGAGCCGCTGACAAGGAGCAGGGCCAGGTGCCAGCGTGGAGGAAAGCAGGCACACAGCATCTGCCAGAGGCTGCCGTGGTGCCTGGATGGGCGAGGGACAAGAGGTGGGCTGACACCTGGGCTGGAGGGGCCAGGTGGGAGCCGGAGACAGGGAGCGGATCCCCCAGTGGTGCTCACCTGGAGTGCAGGTGGAAAATCTCCTCTGCCAGGCAGCAGCAGCCCTTGAGCAGCACCCCGAGCTGCAGGGCCGCCAGCTGGGCGCAGGCACGGTGGGTGATGGACATCAGGGGCTCCCCAGTCAGGAGCAGCACCACGAAGCACACAGCCAGCAGCACGCATGCCGCATGCTGTGCCCGCCCCGCGCGGGGCTCGGGGACGAGCAGGGCAGCAGGGCTGCTCCTTGTCGACGTCGACGGATCCTGGGACATCTGCGAGCAGGAAGGGGGAGTGGGGGGCAGCAGCCGGGACCCCCGAGATCCACATCAGCGCGGCGGAGCGTGGACGTGCACGCCCGGAGCTCAGTCAGCACTCCAAAGCTCGCAAGCACAGCCCAAACCGGCGCCTCGCCGACCGCTCTGCCTCCCCTCCTGCTAACGCCACCCTGCTCCGCACCCGTGGGCACTCACCGAGGTGCGGCCGTGATGCTCGGCACCGCGATGTCTGCGCCGAGGGCAGTGGGCGTAGCAGCACTCAAGCACGCACAGCCACAGCCTCCGCTTCCTCTGGATGCGACCGCTATGCGCGGGGTCGGCACCAGCTCCCGGCGCACGGAGAGGGCAGAGCTGCACGGCTGCTGCAAACCTAATGGAGAACAAAACGAAAATGAAAGCTGCTCTGGCAGCTGTAAGTGGCAAGGAAAGGCGTGGAGCCTCCCATGCTGGGCACCTGGGGGGTGTCTGTGGCTTTGGGCCCTGGGCAGCTAGGGGGAATGCTGCAGGTTACAACATGCAGGAGTTTATGGCTCTGGAAAACCCCAGCATCCCTGCCAACTCACAAAGGATAGAATGAGGAAGGAAATGAAAGCAAGCTTGTTTTCGCTTCGAGTGGGTTTCCAAAGCAAGCAGAACTTCAGCAGCAATGGATTCCTCCAGTGAGGCTGACACAGCATTCCCAACACAGCCACAGGGCAGTCTGGGGCTCTGCTCATGGGCACCAAGGGTATGGCTGGAGCTCCTGCCCACCTTGCTTACCCACCTGGGCGCTGCCACAGCCCGGGCTCCTGATGCAGGCAGAGAGCCGTGCGCCTCCCTAGTGCCAAGGCTGGCCAAAACAGGCAGGTGCCTGCTTTTAGCCCTGTACCACGGGTCTGTTTCTCACTCCCAGCTCCTGTCCGTGGCTGTGCCGCTCTCCTGCTTTTTCAATCCCCCACTCTATTCTGCCCTATTTCTTCTGGAGAAGAGGAGGCTCAGGGGAGACCTCATTGCGCTGTACAACTTCCTGAAGGGAGGTTGTGGTGAAGAGGGATTTGGCCTCTTCTCCCAGGCAACGAGCAGGACACGGGGCAATGGCTGCAAGTCGTATCAGAGGAGGTTCAGGTTGGACATAAGGAAGAACTTTTTCTCTCAGAGAGTGGTCAGGCACTGGAATGGCTGCCCAGGTGGAGTCGCCGTCCCTGGCAGTGTTCAAGAGGCGTCTGGATGACATGCTGTGTGATGTGGTTTAGTGCTGGTGGTGGCAATGGTGATGAGGAGACGGTTGGACTGGATGATCTTATAGGTCGTTTCCAACCTTGTGATTCTATGATTCTATGCCCATCTCGCTTTTGCTTCCAGGCTCTGCCCTGTGCCTGCCTCCTGTCTGCACACACTGGATGCTCTGGAGCTCCTGCCCTCTCCTTGGAATTTCCTCACACATCCATTGGGGTTCTCAACTCTTTTGTGACACCAGAGCTTCTTCCCTGAGAGATTTTCTCCCTTTGATAATAAATAAATCTGTGATTTATCAGCCTTCTTTTGATGTCCTTTAAGCTGCCAGCACCTGCAGTGCCCATGGCAGTGGGTTCTTGTGCACGTGTCAAATGGAGGAGCCCTTCTGCTTTTGGGGCTGTTCCAGTCTGCTGCTCTTTGAGGTGTTCCCATTCTTGTGCCGGGACACCTGCAATGCCCCCAGGTCCCAGGAGCCTTTGCCCTCCTGCCGTGAGCTGCCTCTCACCCAGCTCCTGGCACAGGGAAGCAGGCATCCGCATATTTCCTCACGTCCCGCCGTGTGGGCAGTGGGCACAGCATGGGCCTGAGTGCAGTGAGATCACAGCAGCGTGATGCTGCAGGTGCACACGCCTTCCAGCCACTTCTCATTTGTAACAGGTCAGAGAATCATAGAATCACAGAACCGTGTTGGAAGGGACCCCCGAAGGCCGTGCAGTTCATCCCCTGCAGAGCACAGGGACACCCGCAGCCCAGCAGTGCTCACAGCCCATCCAGCCAGACCTTGGCTGCCTGCAGGGACGGGGCACTCAATCCCACTCTCAGCGTCACTGATGAAGATGTTAAAGAGCATCAGTCCCAGCACGGACCCCAGAGGGCCACCACTTGTCCCTGATCTCCATCCACACATGCAGCCATTGACCTCTGGCCACCGTCCTCCAGGTGCCACCTTGCGCACGCCTGGCTTCCTTCTCCCATTGCGCAGCTGTAATTACACGGGGGTGTGGCCGTGTTCTTTCCTTGTTCCTCCTCTCCCACCCACTTACAGGAAACCACTGCTGCCTTCTTGGCCAGGACTTGCATCTGAGGGAGGTTCGTGGAGGAGAGACACTGGGCAGGAGTCGGTCCTGGGGCACACATCCCCCGTGCCATGAAAATGAGCTTTAGTTTGGTTTGCACCAAAAGCAGAACAAGCTTGTGAAAGAACAAACAAAGCAACCATGGGAGGATGGGGCAGCAATTGCCAGAAATGGAAACCATATCAACAAAACAGCAACAATTTCTGTGCCTGCATAGAGGACAGTGCGTATGTTTGGATCGTCGTGCGCTGCAATTCCCCCAAAGCCTTTTTCTTCTTGTAGAAAAACCCATGGCTTAAAAGCAAAACCAATAGAAGAGCAAACGAAGCCCCCAGCATTGCTTTGATGCATGAAGAAAAACCTCCGTCTCCTGGACAGTTTTTTTTGTGCTCCTGTTGCCCTAATGCCTTGCTGGCCGCATGCTGCTCACAGCCTCCTTGGAATTTCCTCACACATCCATTGGGGTTCTCAACTCTGTGTTTTTAAGCACATTTAACTGAGACCGAGAGCAAATCACTGCAGAACTCACTTCCATCAGGCTTCAAAGCTGTGTCAGTTCTGGGTTTGAGTTGTGGTGTGGGAAAGGGAAATCGAGGTGGGGCACGTGGCAGCGTGGGGCTGTTTGAGAGCCTCTCAGCTCACCTGGCCCTGTGCAGCCACGTCCCCTGTGCACAAATCAGTGACGTGGGGGGTGCCGTGGGGGCTCAGTGCTGCCCCATGTCCAGCTGCCATCCAGCTGTACCCCAGCCCTGTTCATTGCAGGGGAGTTGGACCGGATGGCCTTTAGAGGTCAACTCAAACCATTTTGTGATTCTGCAATAACTATGAAAATGAATTTTCTACATTCCTTAGAGAAGCTCACATCCATGTGGTAGGAAATAGAAAAACGTCCCTGGCAGAAAAATGAAAACGAAAGCGTTTTTAAACTGTTACTTTCACAGATGTTGATTATCCGGATTGAGTTCTACAATCACAGAATCACAGAATGCCCTGGGTTGCAAAGGATCACAATGCTCATCCAGTTCCAACCCCCTGCTGTGTGCAGGTCGCCAACCAGCAGCCCAGAGCCACCTCCAGTCTGGCCTTGAATGCCTGCAGGGATGGGGCATCCACAGCCTCCTTGGGCAGCCTGTTCCAGTGCCTCACCACGCTCTGTGTGAAAAACTTCCTCCTAATATCCAACCTGAACTGTTGTTCAAAGGGGGCTTTTCAGAGCTCAACAAGGAACAAACAGCAATCCAGGCTGCTCCTGTTGCCACTGTGAGCTCAACTGAGTTTTCCAATTTGGTGACAAAATCCACAGAGCTCTGAAAAAGGAGGGCCCAGTCCTCAGGATTTGTGACCTGAAGGCTTCCCGAGAACTGCCCAAGCAGCAGTGCAAAGCAGAAGAGCCAAGCAGGAGGCTGCCCTTCCTGCGATCCTGACAGCATTCCGGCACTCTGAGAGCCACGGGCTGTTTTCAGCATGAGAGGGGGATGTGAAGCTGCTGCCTGAAGCACGTCTCTGCTCAGCCACGGCGAAAGAGCTGTGTGTGCTGGGAGACGCTCTGTGTGCTAAAGCTGCTGGAGGAAACACCTGAAGTTGTCGTAGAAAGGGCAGCAGCAGCAAAGCCAGCGGGAGCAGACAGCCTGTGCCTCCCCAGGGCCTCGCGGTGCTGCAGGACGAGCGCAGCACAGCGGGTGGATGCACACAGCTGCGGCGCGGAGCTGAGGGTTTCACCGCCCGGTCTCTCCTTCGAGCCCTTCACGTGAGAATGCGAAGGGCAGGGAGCGGCCCTGCTGCAGCATCTGAAGGCAAGCGGACGGGTGCGGTTAAAAACCCCGCTGTAATTCACTGTAAACGAACACACCGGGAACCAGGCTGTCCTCCGATGGCTGAAAAGGAGCAGGAGCTGGAGACCTGCCGCCAGCACGGCCGCCCAGCTCCGACAGCGGCACAGCCCCGGCCCCGCCCGTCTCCGCGCCACGCGCTCGGCACAGCGCAGGCTGCCCGAAACTCCCGCGCGCTCCCGCGGCACCGCCCCTCACATCGGCGGCGCGGCCGAGACTTCTTCCCGCCCCAACTACTCGCGAGACCTTTACGTCTCGCGAGGTGTTTTGCGTCACGCGAGGCGTTTGCTTCACGCGAGATCGTTGCGTCACGCGCGGCGGCACCGTCGTATCCCTCCGCGCTCTCCCCCTCCCCCTTCTGGAGAGTTCTGTGCGCGCGCCGCACGGCAAATAGTCCCCGCGCCTCCCGCCCGCCCCCGCCCCGCCCGGCTCCGCGCCCCCGGCCCGGCTCCGGCCCTCCCCCCGCGGCGTTCTCTCCCGGGCTCCTCCCGCTTCGCTCCAGGCGGCGGCGGTGCGGCGGCGGGCAGGGCACGGCGGAGCGATACGCGGAAGGGGTCATCCCAGAGCGGCGCGGCGCAGCGCATAAAGCGGCGGCGGAGCGAGCGGCGCGGCGGGGCATTAGCGAGCGCAGCGCGGCCGGCCCAGGGAACAGCGCGAGGCCGCGCCGGGCCCCTCGCCGTACCGCCGCCTTCCGGGCCCCCTCCCCTCCCCCTCGTCTCCTCCCCCCCCTTCTCCTCCCCCCGCGCCGCCACCTCCGCACTCCTCCTCCTCCTCCCCTCCCCCGCGGAAAGTAGTTCCCCGCGGCCGCCCCCTCCCCGC